TGTTTACATATATAAAGCAATTTTGAGATGATTTTGTGGTAGATGTAAAATAATTGTTGAAGAGTGACTTTCAGAAAAGTTTAAAGAGTCCAGAAATTTAATAAACAAGAGTGTTGAGGTAATTCCCCGTGAGGAGAATGAGCGCATACAGGGAGACATAGTGAGAGAAGTGTTGAATAATACACACAGAGAACACAGATACACTGTACAGTAAATGTAGGTTTTTACTTCCAGAAACGTTTAAGCAAAGTTCAAAATAAGCAGTCCAAAGTCATTCACAGGTAAGTCAGTCAGTTTTCAGTCCAGGGATAATCCAATAACAAAGTCCAGTGTCAAAAACAGTTCAGTAACAGACTTACATCAAATCCAAGAATAGCAGTCAATTAGGAGGAACGGCAATACTCTCCAACAGAAGGAAACAGAGAATCACTGAGGCTTCTTCTGAGACTAAGACTAAACAACCCAGGTTTCTGGCTCCATCTTATGGCCGTTTGAGAAACCACACCCAATTACAATGTTTGCATTTTCTTAAAGATACAGTATTAAAATGTCTATCCTGGTTTATATTTTTCCAACCCAAATAACTGTTAGGTGACTTATATTCCTAACAAAGAGAAGAAACTCAAAATAACCTCATTTTGCTTTTGTTTAGTGTATGTATGGAAAACATGGGACAGGACTTCAAGTCTCCATTACAATACCCTACAATGATTAAGTTGTATTCTGGGAATCCCTGTGATATCTGTTTCTTGACCAGGTCTACTACAAAGGGTTGACAACACATTAAATCCAATTTCTAAAGTCAAAGATGTTTTAATTGAACATACCGCCAGTCAGTGGCCTGCAATGTATCACCTACTTTGAATAATTTGTCTGGATAACAGCAAATTGATTTACAGTAAATATCTACTTGTGCCTAGCTTTCCCCAAAACAATGTACCTGCATTTTCCAAATTAGAACTATCCTAAAGAATTGAATATCAAAGGATTGCAAGCAAGCCTCTATTTCAGAATCTTCTACAACTTTTAGTGCTAGAGAAACAACTGAATAATGGAGAGAGGAGAATCAAATTCCTGCCAGGATAGCAAACAGTGAGATTGTGACTTTTGAATATCTGTATATTTAAATCAATATTAATTAGATATAAACTACTTTTATAAACATATTTTTTTAAAATAAAAAAGGAAAGGTTTCATCATCAGTCATGTCTGACTCTAGGGCATATTGCTCATCTCTGTTGAGACAGCATTGTCTGAAGACTATTTCCACTGACATGTGGCCAGCATGGCTGTACACCAAAGGCAGTGGTGGGATTCAGCCAGTTTGCACCACTTCAGGAGGACCGGTTGTTAACTTTCTGAGCAGTTTGGTGAACTGGTTGTTGGAAGAAATCATTAGGGCAGAAAACCAGTTGTTAAATTATTTGAATCCCACCACTGACCAAAGGTGCATGGAACGCTGTTACCTTACCACCGAAGTGGTGCCTATTATTCTACTTGCATTTGAATGTTTTTGAACTGTTAGATGGGAAGTTTTTCTAGGAATTATTATATTTAAAAGAATTTAAAAATACTTATACCCACCAGATTAAATCAATGTATAAAATATTAAAAGTTTTGGTAGATAATATTGGTAATTATAAATAAGAGCTAAAGTGGCATTTTCATACAGCATCATTTTGTGTCTAGCTCCAGCAACATTTCATTCCTGAAATGTCATCTAGTTGTTTGACATTACAGACCAATGATTCCAGCCTTAAATTAAATATAAAAGGCAATGCCACAAAATAACAGATGAAAAAATGATTACATTTATAATAATTTTAGTTTATAGATTGAACTATCATATTTTAACCCAATTGATTAAAAAACATCCAGATTATGTTCCAATAATTTCAGCTACATTGCATCAAAAGATTTTTATGTGTTCATTGTAAAATTCAGCTTCTCTCTGAAGCAATTTGTCCTTTTACAAAACCAAATTGTACAGGATAAATCACTGACAGTAATTTAGTCTGAAGTCACTGTGTCAGAACTGCTGTCAGTAAGTTTATCATCCACATTTAACAACAACAACAATAACAAGAGGTGTCAATGTGCACATTCTCTGGAATTTTTATCCACCTTCAATATTAGAGTGATAAAAGTATCATGAAAAGACCATTATGTGCCTCTAATACCATACGAGCAGAATATTCAATATGTGATTCATACTTCTATATGAAGAATCTGTTACAAGTAAGAGGTTTCCTGTTATACAAATTTCATACTGTCATTTATTTCCTGCAATGCTGATGACTTGATCATGCAAAATTTTGAAAGATATTTATTATTTTTTTTAAAAAATACTTAAGTTCTTCACTAGAAAGTGTTGGAAAAGAAAATTAAAAAGTCTTGAGTTGGAACTATTCACGTATACTCCAGTTACATTTTAAGATCAAGTCTGAAAATGAAAAAAAAAAATCTTTGATTTAGCAAATTACATTCATTATATCATTTACACCTGGAATCCTTAATTGTGGAAATATTATTGTGCGGTTGGTACTATTTTAGTCTGAAGTCAATAATTTTCCAGTTTGTTTATCTTTGCTCCCAGCAACCTTGTCTTATGCAATGAATAATTTAATTAATATTAAATTAATTATACTGCAAGGTGTATGAATATGATTACATTCCAATTTAGTAGATATGTATAGTTCCAACTCAAGACTTCTCAGTTTTCTTTTCCAAACACTGTGTTCTTTTTCTCTCCCCCCCCCAAAAAAAAAAAACAAAAAAACAAGCAAACCAAGTTGGTATAACATTTAAACTTTTGGACTAAAAGAAGGGAAACCCAGGTTTTATCCCACTCTCTGCCACAACAGCAAAGCAGGTGAATTCAGCCGTCCTTCCCTTCCCCAGGTCAATCATTTCCACAGGTTTCTTAGTAGAGGAGAAAAGAGGAAAAAGCACTGTGTATTCTGTGTTATACTTCTGGTTAAAAGGCAGGCTGGATGTCTAATAAATGTATGTATTTATTTCTTAAATCTGTGTGCTACCAGACTCCCAACAACCCTGAGCAACTCATAAGTAAAAATGCTTTTTAAAAGATACAATAAAGAAAAAGATGGCAGAAATTGGACAGGAACAGGAAAAGAAAAAAACCTTAGACATACAGTCCATAGTATGGACTATGGAGGGGGCTTCACTCATCCCTGCTAAAGGAAGGCTTGGGAGAGAAATTCTTTAACTCCTCTACATCTTTACTATAAATATAATATTCAGCCTCTTGACATGATTTTCTCAACAATGGCTGTTCATTTTTGAGAGACATGAGAGACTTTACAGCCAATATGCCTAAAAATTTGATTTTTGCCCCTCTCCATCTCTGGAAATCAAAATTGAGAGTTAAGATTGTCCTATATATATGTGTTGCAAAATAAGACTAACATCTTTAATACTGTCTGTTATTGGCTTTTCCGTAACAATTGTTTCTTCCCCACTGACTGAGGAAGGGGGACATACTTGTCATCTAGCTTTCAGAGTCATGAACATTGATAATTAATTAAAATACAGGTAGTCCTCAACTTACAACCATTTGTTAAGTGACAGATGGATCTATTTACTCCTACTGTGCACATTGTTGGCTCTGTGATAACTCAACTCCTAAACTACCCATGTAAAATATATTGGTGTACTAAAGCACATTAATATCAGTTTACCAGACCTGCAACTTTTTATGTCCTCATGAAATTACAAGTTTACCATTTACATGTAATAAAATCAATGAGGAGATTTAAAATTGGTCTTAACATTAAATAGACTGCATTATTAAACATGCTTAAATATGTTCTGGCTTGTGCTCTGAGGTAGAGCCTGAGGGAGTTCATGTCCTAATTTGGGAAGGAAAGATCATGAGTTTAAAAGATTGTAAGTTACATTATTTACATTTAAAGTATGGAATACATGCCTTAAACCTTCTCTTTCACTGCAAACTGCCTTTTTGGATTGCTTTTTAAAATTGATTCTGTTTTTTTAAAAATTATTTTTTAAAAATTGAAATTTTGATTCAGTTGTAAAATGAATGCCAATTAAATTTAGGGAAAGAGAGAGAGAAAGAAAGAGAAATAGAAAGAAAGAATAAGAAGTGCAAGGAAGGAAAAAGAAAAGAAAAAAAAAGAAACTAAGATAAAGAAAAAAAGAAATATTTCAAGAAGCGATTCTGATTTTTACCATAACAAATACAAACAAATTTAAGCATTCTTCACCCCCATAAGGTTACAAACAAATATCCTTTTTCCCATAACCCATTCATTATCTATATGCAAATCTATAAATGATCAACATTTCCATCCTAATGTCAGCAAAAAGTTGATAAGAATTACCAGAGCTTTATAGAAACATGCTTTGTTTTAACCTTGGTCAAACAAACCAACTATATACTCCTTCTCTTTGCTTCTAACAAGTTTAATTCATTCAGATGTTTTAATAGAAAAAATGGATCAATTTCCAAAATAGAGGACAATTTATAAGTTTAACTTTTTCTCAGTTCATTCCATCACTTTAGCATTATTTTCTTTTTGTAAATGTGGTAGCAGTATGTATAGCTATAAAGGTTAAAAATAAAGAAAATGGGATTATACACACATAGGTAAGAGTCATTATGTTGACAGATGAAGTTAAAACCCAATATCCATAACTTGATAATTCAGAAAAATCACATTCAATTGAAGAACTGCAATTAATACAGTTTGTTAAAAACAATATGAAAGAAGAAATTATGATCTCAGATTGGTTGAGATGTGTCACATGGTACACAGGTGAGTGAGACATCATATAGCTAGATAAAATGATAATATAGATGAGCTCTATAACTTGTTCACTTGATTTCAGTACAGTTTTCAAGATTTAGGCTTTACCATTATATGATATCCAAGCTTGCACACTTAGCCTAGTAAAAATTGATTCAACAGAAGAATCATTTCATATCACATGTAATTTTCCATCCCATAAAAATGATATAGCTTTGGCAGCACATATACTAAAATTGGAACAATACAGAGAATATTAGAATGGCCCCTGTGCAAGGATGACTTGCAAATTCGTGAAGCGGTCCATTAAAAAAAAAGATATAGTAGCAACTATCCATGACCAATCAAAATTAGAATATATGACAAACTGTAATCTAAGATGTATAAACCTGCAAAAAAGCTTCTCTGTTTCTGACATTTTAAGCTAGTATTTAAAGCCATTGAATCTGAAGAACAATAAGTAATTGCTTTTCACTAAATAGCAAAAATAGAAGCAGATGAAAACAAACTTTCCTATTGTGGAGTCCATTGAGAAAATCTCAAGGCATGTTTACTTTGCTGTTTCTGTTTAACCTACATTTTGGCAGATGTGGGATTGTATTGTGCAATAATCCTTTTTATATGGAAAGAGTTGATGGAAGATTATTTGTGATTCATTTAAAAAAAACAAGTTTTAGAAATCAGCCATAAATCCCCTTCTGCCTGAAACAAATGAAAGGCCGAGAAATAACACCACATTTAATCTTGAGTCTCCTCAAGTTCTGTGCAATTATTTTGACAGTTAATTCAATGTATTTAACATCAGCTTCCAACCCAAGTAGTTCAAAGGAAATCTTGTTCTGAGCCTCTACACAAAAGAAATGAAATAGCTAGGTTGCTTCACTGTTTTTTTTGTTGGGGGAGGGAAATATCTATGCACAGGGTGAGAGAAAATGGATTTTATGAGCAGTGCAGGTAGACTGATGCTCAGGGACAAAGGACTCGAACATCGCCAGCCTTTTCTCTCCTTGCTTTGAGGTTGATAAAAATCCTTGCTTGCAGATCAGCTTTGGGGAAGAGCTAAAGGTTATGCTCATGCTGATTCCTGACCTTTCGAATCTGCTGCGAAAGACAAAGGATACAGTGCACTTGGTGGTATTTTCGGCTAAGTGGATGACCTCTGTTTATCTCCTATGAAAGAAGGGCTACCATAGCAGTTCTGCCTAATGCCAAACCGAAAAGGTCTCATACATAGATGAGGGAAAGTCCCATTTTTCATTATCAGACTTGCAATTTCTCTCTTTTAAATAAATTCTTCCCCTTGGGCTTTTTTCAGGATGGGAAATTTGGGCAGCTAGGGTGACGGGTTGCTGTTTGATCATGTTGTTGCAAGAGGGTCTTTTAAAGCCAAATTAACTTTATGGAATGTTTGAAATTAACACCGTGCAAAATCATTCTTTTGCATATTTCCCCCAGGATGCCTTCATTCAATTGGATGAAACAAATTGGATTTTCCATTGCCTTTCAAGGGCAAAGATAATTTAAGAGGGGTTTCTCAGGAATGATCATTATTTTGTTTCTTTATGGAATAAACAACTTATAGGTGGCCACACTGATTTTGTCAATGCCAATGGTATTCAGATGGTGTTCCAGTTGTTTTGGGATTGCACTCAAGCCATCTCTTATTATTTGCTTTCTTTGGCCAGTAGGTCTATTATTATGATTGGTTGCACAGTCAGCCAGGACCTGGGATAGGCAGATGTTGCAGTTTGATGGTGATAAAGGTATCATCACAGGATGTAAAACTGCCTTTTGCAATTGACTGGTTGTGATTTTGTCAATGCTAATGGCGTTTGAGAGGTGTTACAATGTTTTGGGATTGCAGATATTACAGTGCAACATTGTTCGGTCATGCCATCGTTTATAGTCAGTCTGTGCAATCTTCTTGCAGCAGTCCACTGTTTTTTCAGCTTTTTTTGCCAATGCAGCATTTATTGTTTGTTTTTTTTTATTGCTGTCCTCTCAGTTCTGGCTCTGTATAAATTTGTTCTTAAAGTTTGGTTTGGGGCAGTGGTGGGATTCAAATAGTTTTACCACCGGTTCGGTGGGCGTGGCTTGGTGGGCGTGGCTTGGTGGGCGTGCTTTGCCTAAGCTGGCACACAACTTTCCCCACACCAGCTGAGACCTGCGGCGCCAATCAGCTGAGACGATAAAGAAGAGAAAAGTGCAGGGACAGGTGGGAGGACCGATCCTGTGCTTTTCTCTTCTTTATCCTCTCAGCCGATTGTCAGAGGATTTTTTTTCCTCCTCTCAGCTGACCGTAGGCTTTTTTTTTTTTTTACTACCAGTTCGGCCGAACTGTTAGCATACCACCACTGGTTTTGGGTAGCCAGATTTAGGCTTTCTGTCTCTTTCTTTCCTATTCTTAACCATTGCCAGATCTTCTGGTTATTTGCTTTGCTTTCTACTTTTTATGTAGTGGCCATGCTATACTTTGTCTCTTTTCTAGTCTTCATTGGGTATTTTTGTAGGCCAGTTTGGTCTCTCCAGTACCCAGTAAGCCTTCCTCCTATACTAGTCTCAGATCATCTTCTTCACTGTCTTTCAGATGCCCTTTTTTTCTTCATCTATGCACTTGGAACATTCCACATTCATCCTTGGCAAGCAGGGTCTATCAACATCACTGCATGGATAAAGGGCATGATTTATTAAAAAATCTGTAGAGATTCTCCGTCATCCAAGTCATGATTGTCCAAAGGTGCTTTTTCAGGAGGCAACTAGACTTTCTTGTTTTTTGAAGATGTTTCGCTTCTCATCCAAGAAGCTTCTTCAGCTCTGGCAAGATAGTAGGGAATCCATTAATGGCCTTGATGGTTTTTTTCCTCCACTTATTTTGGACTTTAAGATTTTCTTCACACGTGCTGTATTAACTTCTAACTTTCTTCTTGACTTCAGTATGCTCTTTGCTTATTAACAGTCCTTTGCTTTGCTCATCTTATCTTATATTTCTGTTTAATACTTCCAAAGCCAAGATAAAAAGTAGATGTGACAGGGGATCTCCCTGTTGTGTCCCCTACTGTATCTCACATTATTCAGCTAAATCACCATTAACAATAATATGTGCCTTCTGGGATATATAAATTGACTCGATCCCTTGCTAAAAGTTATCTCCTAAATCCATATTTTCCACAATTTTAAACATAAAATCCCAATTCAAATTATCAAAAGCTTTCTCTGCATCCAAAAAGATCTATGCAACTTGTTTTTCACTGTGATGTTGAAAATATTTCATTATGTCCGATATAGTCCTCACATTGTCCCTTAATTGCCTTCTAGTAAAAGTCCGTATTGATCACCATAAATAAAGTTCTGTAAAAAAACAAAGTCTCTTGACCAATATTGTTGTAAAAATTTTATAGTCATTTTTTTGACAATGAAATTAGTCCATAATGCTTATTAGAAGAATTTTTTGGGGTCAGTACCAAATAAAAGTCAGATTTTAGCAGAAATAATAAGTAATAAGGGGAAAGGAAAAATATTATATAGACATCCAAATGTTTCAATGGTCAGTCTTTGTGTGCCATTATCATAAAATCATCCATTTGGGAGAATTTTTTCATCTTGTTACATCCAATCTCCTGCTGAGTGCAGAAATACAAATTAAAACTGCCTTCACAGATGGATGTCCAAACTCTGCTTGATCACCTCCAGTTAAGAGAATGTTTCTACCTCCCTAGCTAATTGTTTCTCCAATTGTTAAGTTGCCTTTACTCTTTGGTTTTTTCCTAACATTGAATCATTATATTCCTTCTGGTGACAAGTGCGTTGTTCCTTGTTCTTCCTTCTGTGGTCTTTCTTCTTTATGACATCTCTTCAGGAAAAGAGTTATTATCTTTTCCCACCTCTTCCCTTCTTCAAGTCTTTTCATAAATCCCCAGATTATCCGCATTGTCCTTCATTGCACTAGGAGAGAGCAAAGCTTTACCTTGAGCTCTTGCAAAATATTGGGCAGCAAAATCATTTATCCCACCCAGACCTGCCATTCTTCTTCTTTATGTCTGCCAGCACTTCAGAGGATATAGTGGGACGAGGAATTGGCACCGGCTGACATTCTTCCTCTTTGGGGATTTCATAATGGCTGATTCAAAGATACTGAAGCTAGCTGTTTCCTGATCTCCCTTGTCAAATGTAGACTGGCTTGATTAAAAGCTCAATTAAATTGTTCTCTTATATTTGCATAGATTCTCACTCGTAAACACTGATCTGTCATTTCATTATAGATTTTTTTTTTACAATGCGGTATAATTATTGTTTTCAATTCATTTGCAGACAATGTTAATGTAATTTGGAAGTGCTCATGAAGCCTCTGATGAAATGAAAAGCTCTGCTGCTCTGTTTTGTCTTGCAGAAAATGCCAGACCGTTCTGTGTCTAAGCTAAGTGACATTGGGAATAAAATTGTGAAAGATTATTGGCTGACACCCACAGATTCTCAGTTCTAAATGGAAAGAAGAGATTCTTTGTAATTATCTCTTTGTTAATATAGTAAGGCTGAGTTTAGCAGACAACATAAAAATCCTAAAAGCAAGGACAGTAAAAGAAGACTTTGACAATCTATAACTGTAGACAATATTTAAAAGGCCACCACCTTTTAAAATGTTCTCTCATTGCTTGGCTAACTTCAGTAAAGTTGGCAGATGAACAATTTTATAGGATTTGCATCGCTGCTTCTGTGGAAACTGATGTCTCTCCATACAAATTATAACTCTGTTTTTTGTTGCAATACACAATGAGATTTATATATGTAAGTATAGAATTATTCTGCTTATACTTTTATGATCTTTCTAAATTATTTTGAACTTTTAAAATCTACTTTGTGGATTTTTCCTATTCTTTATAACCCCTTTTGCTCCTTACTCCATATTACAAAGTTAGTCTTGACCACATATTTGACATCTGGCCATAGATATCTATGCCACTGATGGGACCCCCTTTTTTGTGAGTAATGCATGCAGTGTTTTTTTATATACCTTTAGTTATGGAAGGGGGAAAAAATTTCTTGCATGGAGTGATCTAAGTGCTCTTAGGTCTGCTTCAGCAGCAAGATCTATAACTGAACTAGTCTTACACCAAAGGATTGAAATTAGCTCCATGCAGAAAACTTCTCCAACATTTCTTTTAACAGTTGTTATTCAATCTGAAGAAAAATAATTGGCTTTTAAATTTCTCTTCAAAGATAAGAGAATTTCAGAGTCATGTTCTTGTGATTCTTTGGCCACACAAGACAACTGATTGTCACTCCAGAAACATCTCTCTGGCTTCCCACTCTTCATTG